AAACCGAGACAGAAAAGTAATTTGCTTAAATTACTCTGAGTTCGAGCAGGACTAGCATCTTACCTATTCATCCAAGCGTGATAACAATGGAGTGACTTATCCTGGGGAATCAAGGGCTTCAAAACTGGCTCATTTTTATTAACTATTTCAGAAATGTTTCTTTCCCTAGCAGTGATTTTTTCATACATTAGTAATAACTCCTGTTGTATAACCCCCACATTATAACACCTACTCAGCTCTGAGAGAGAATGTCAGGGTTTTTCAACTTGGTAGAGTGTATTCTGTTCTAACCAGTCTCTTATGCTGACTTAGTAATACAAATATTTGTGTCTGTGCAAAAATAAGGTATGTAGAGGCACCACTTTTAAAACAGAAATCTGACTGAAGATATTATTTTTATCTATAAGAACCTGATGTCTTACTGCATTTTTCTAGGAGTTTGTTACAAGTGAAGGAGATGACGATCCAGAAGTTGAATTTTTAAAATCACTGTCAACCAAACAAAAACAGAAGCTTCTAAGGTATGTCTGGTACCTAGTGGAGGGGATATGTATCACCAGTATTTCTGACTACATCCATGATTGCCACTGTAACTCCTTGGTGCCTTTTAGTACCATCAGTACAGAAGAAAATGAGTTTAGTTTAAATACACTTGATCACAAATGGCATCATGTAGCATGATTTTTAATCTACTTGTTTTATTTAATCTAGTTTTGATGCCTTTGACTGGGGCTCATTTCCAGTTTAACTGGGATACTGAAGTACGAATTGGCTCACTAGAGATGCTGTGCTGCTATTTTAAAATATTATTCTGCATTCTGTTGTTTACAGTATCTTCTTCTGGGATTAAAAATTCTGTGATCTTGTTCACTGGTTTACAACTTGACAAAGTTTATCTTCTCCCTGTGGCTGAACTGAGCCTGATTCTGTACCCCAAGGCCAAGGTTGGCCCAGCTGCGCCCTGTGCTTGTGTCAGGGTTTGCAGCTCATTGCTCCCTGTGGGTCTGAGTTAATGTGGTTCTTGTGCTTTGCTTTTATGCAACTGGTGTTGTGTGCCAAGTGACTTACGGGTTTTTTTGTCTCTTCATTTGCAACATTATCCTGAAATAACCTCAAAATGTTTAAAATCAAAAATACTGGCTAGATCACATAGAGGCATGCAGATAAAACAAGCTTTTAGGATGAAAGATGTCAGATATGTGGGGAGTGGGAGGAGGGGAAGGTGAATGGCTAAGTAGGTCCATGAGTAGATAGGTACACACGGTATTCACATATGTAATAAATAATTCTCTGAAAATAGTCAACATGTTTTATGTTCCTTTTAAGTAAGGACTGTGTATGTAGTTAGAATAATTTAAAATGTTATTTTTGTTTGAACTTCTGCTGGCCCAACACATTTAAATATTTATAATCCTTTATATTTGAGAAGCTGAAGTTTAGTAAGTATTTGGGTCCTTTAGGTTTTATTAGTCTGAAGCTTTTTTTTTCATATACAGGAAGCAGTTTCACTATTCACTCACTGATATTCTGAGCATAAATACAGAAAGCTAAATAAAAACTACATTGAAGTAGTGGAATAGCAGTGAATACATGTGCATGATAGAATATTGTACATTTACAGATAGAGAAGTGTAAGTTACTAGTTGTGAAAAAAGAGGTTACTGGAAATATCTGTATTATTTGCCTAAAGAACTCAAAGATGTATGTTTTAATCTCAGTTTTCATCATTAATAGAAAGTGAATACTAATTGCATTTTTTTCACTTTCAAAATACCTTTTTAAAATGCACAAACAAAAGCAGCAATGATTTTCTAAAGTCTCCAGAGCAGCCTGACAAGGGGGGAAAAAAAGCACTACTGAATGTATTTATTCCTAGTTACAAGGCCCAAATTGACAGTTACTTATCTTTTTGAAAATTAAAGAATTAAAAAATCATATTACTCCTGTTTTGAGGGAGCAGCTGTGAATTACATACTATGGGTAATGCCAGGTTAGAAGTTTTAAAATGAAACTTTGCTGAAAAAGGAAAAGAATTCAATGTTTTTTTTAATGAAAATGATTGTATTTACTGTGTAGGTCATCAGAAGTAGTGAACATTAAAAGACAATGACTTTGTAATTTAGTACATCTTAATGTGTCTGATTGTGCCACTCTTTTATTTTGACAATAAAAGGAAGTTGGATCGTCTAGAGAAGAAAAAGAAAAAGAAAGATAGAAAGAAGAAAAAGCAGCAAAAGAAAAAAAGCAAAAGTAAACACAAGAAACATAAGATGAGATCCTCTTCCTCATCTTCTAGTGAGACTTCAGGAAGCAGCAGTGATAGTGAGACTGACAACAGAGATAAAGAAGCAAAAAAGAAGATGGATTCTAAGAAAAGAAAAAAAGACAAGTTTTCAGAGGCTAGCAGCAGCAGTGATTCAGAAGGAAAGGCAAAAACGAGGAAGGAAAAACTTTATGAAGATCTCTCCAGTAGTCACGGTAACAAGGACAAAGATAGGGAGAAGTACAAGCTTTTAAAGCGAGACAGTTCTGCAGAGAACAGCAAATGGAACTCCTGTGAGGAAGAAAGAAAGTCCACAAGCAGATACCATAGCACCAACACAAGAGACACTGAAAGAAAGGAGGATAGTAGAAGCCAAAAGATGAATGAAGGGAGCAGGAAAAGCCCATGCTCAAATCACAGCAGTTCCAGGCAAAGGCACATAAGAAGAAGTCCAAGTCAAAGCCCTGGTGAAGAGCGGCACAGGAAAAATGAAACCAGAAGCCCCAGCACAGATGTTCACAGAGAGAAGAAAAAATGTCGAGAAGGCTATGGGGACAAGTGCAGTAAAGTGGAACACAGAGAAAGGAGCAGACGCAGTAGAAGCAGAAGCAGAGAGAGGAAAAGAAATAGGTAGTATAGGGGACAGGTGCAAACAAGAATTTCTCTGGGTTTTGATGAATACCTTTTAACAAGGGCTCAATTACATACTGCTCTTCATTTTCCAACCTCTGTAACTAGCATTTCCTACATAAAGCCAACAGCATCAATTCTATTGTGTTGGAATATTTGTAAATTAGGTATAAATGTTAAGGTATTTTTTTACTGTCTAAATACGCTTATTGGCAAATATCTCTTGTATACATGCAGTAATTCACAGACCTGAGTTTAGAATTTTAAAATATTTAAAAGCAGTATGCAATACTCTTGGTTTCATCCATGATTTCTGTTTAGATGCAACTGCAAGGGGGAGCAGAGAAAGCATTTGAGATTGTCCTGGATAAGATCATTGCTTTAGATATCAAAGCATTGTCTTGTAGAGTGTTTTGTTTTTTTCATACTGAAACATTTTTCCTAAAGTTCCCTGTAAGAGATCAATTTCAGGAGTTAAAACAACAGAGAGACATAGTTCACATAAGCGTATAGCCAACATTTTTTGGCTTCCTGCAGTGTACAGCTTGGTCAGGGCTATCTCAACATCTTGAACCCCTGTTGGTATGTGTCAGTACAATGTCAAGCTATTGTTCAATAATCTCTCAAGACATGAAAGGAATATTTACTGCCTCAGCTGTTTCATGTATGTCATTGTTTGTGGTAGTAAGTTAGTGTAAATAGTCATCCTTTTGTTTTCATGAACCTTTTCCTTTTTTTAGTGATTGTCAGTCATTTTCTGCATACACTGTTATGAAGATGAACTTCCATAATAAAATACCTTATTCTTTAAAACCAGTAATAATTGCTGTCTTCTTCAGAGTTCTGAGTCAGCACAAATGCACAAGGCAACACTTGACAAGGTTTTTATTGCAAAGGAAAGGCTTCTCTGCTCTTTCAGGGTGGCAGATGGAAGTATTCATTAGTGGACACATGAAACAGTCACTGTACTCGGTATTCCAGCAACTTTCTCACCCTCCTCACTCACAGGACAAATGGGACTATCTGTTATTACCAGTCCACTTCCACTTCACTCAGAAGATTCTCAGCACTGCAGAGTATAATAATACATGGTGAAAGTGACCTGGCTTATCGTTTAAGTGCATGTGAAGAGTTTGAAAGGGTGAGCCATTAAGAGATGTCACCTCTTTCAATGTGTGTCTGCATTAGGTTGCTCTGGGCATTCCTGCTGAAGTAGCTGGGAGTTAAAGAGCCCCTGCAGTAGAGTCAGCCCCCCTATATTGATGTGTGGAAGTTCTGATTCTGAAAGAACAGGCAGAGACTGCAAAAATGCTTGTTTTAGCAATCTAAACAAAACCTCCGTGTAAGCTAAGAGTAATGTGATAGGGGAAAAGGCATATTCTGGGAGAACATTTTTGTGTTAAGTGCAGTAGTGAAGATAGGAATATCGGGAAGGCGCCTCCGTTCCAAAAAGGGTCTCTCCAGTTGTTTTGTGTTTGGCTCAGGAATCCTGCCAACTACAATGCAATTGACTCCCACCTGAAAAAGAGTGGACAGCTCGACATCCACAGCTGTATGCTCTTTGGAGGGCTCTGCACTTCACTCCTTTCCTTGTAGTTAAACAGCATATCCTGCCTTTTCGCACAGAAAAAGACTGGCAGAAAAGTAATGACATTCTGGATGTATCTGTCTTAGACTACATATGGAAGAGCTTTGGAGCAAACCACTCATCTTCCCAGGGGAAGGTTGATGTGGCTGTGCTGGCAGTGTCTCACTGATCCCGCTACCTTCCCTAGACCGGTTTATGTCCCCTCACCGGCACGGAAGCCACAGGGAGCCCCGGCCGGGGTGCTCCGGGCAGCGGGGCTGTGCCGGTGCCGCTGTGGGGCCTGGCCGAGGCAGGTCCGGGCCGTGTTTGCCCGCTGCCCTCACGGGCCCCGCCGGCACCGCCCGCGGCGCGGGGCGGCTGCGCGCGCCCGGCCCCGCCCCGGCCCGCGGGTCTATGGGGCACCGCCGCCCCGGGCCGAACGCGGCGCTCGGCAGAGCCGGCGGGGTCCGGCAGGAGGTGCTGTCGCTCCGCGGATGGCGGTAAGAGCAGCTCTAGCGATAGCTCTGCTCCAGTATTTATTTATTTATTTTCGTTAAAGCCGCGGAATAGGGTTAAGCTTCTGCGGGGCTGGGCGGCGGGGCCGCGGCGCGGTGAGGGGGTTCCCTCAGCCTGGCGGGGAGGACGGGACCCGTGGCCGGGACTTTCCGGTGTCGGAGCGGGGACCGGCGGCTCTCCCGGGACGGGCGAGCGGCTCTGCCGGGCGCTCTTCTGCTGCTTGGCCCGGGGTCTTGGGGCTGCGTCGGGACGGGACGAGCTGGGCTCCCGGCCGCTCCGTCGGGCGGCTCTGGGGGCGGGCAGGGCGGCGGGGAGCTTCGGGCGAGGGGTCCCGGGCCGTTTTTCTGGTGTGCCGCCCCGCCGGACCCACGGCTTAGAATTAACGCCGAGCAATAAATTATTGCTACTCCGAAAGTAAATAGACGGGTGACTCCCAGATGGGGCTCCTGCTCGTATCGGTACAATAAATATCCCTGAAGGAAGCTCTCTATTTATGTTGTTGTCATTGATTAATTCTCGCTACCTCATTTGATTTCGATTTAGAACGATTTGATTCTAATTTAATTAGCATGTAATTTGGATGTACATAATTACTGTAATTATGACATTCAGGTAAGGCAGCTTTAGGCTGAAAGGCAATTTCAAATTTTCTAGCAGCCTACTTTGTGCCGGGGAGCGGACAGGGACCCCGCGCCCTGCCAGCCAGGTACCAATTAGCACATCTCGGGAGCAGCGCTGCCGCGCGTTTGTGGAACAACAGCGGCGCCGAGGCGGCGGCGGCGGCAGAGCCGCGCCCGGGGCCCGCCGGCGGGTGTCCGCCGGGAGCCGCGCCCGGCCGCATGTGCGGGGCCGCACGGAGGTTGCGGAGCGGTGACCGTCGAGGGCCCGGTCGCCCCTCCGGTTGGCGGCCCGGGGAGCGGCGAGGCCGGGCCGGCTGCCCCGGGCTGGGTGTGCGCGCGGTCGCGGCGGGCCCGTCCCGCCCCGCCGTCTTCCAGAGAAGTTCGCGCTAGCCTGCCCGCTCCCAGAGGCCCTCCCCGGCCCCGCCGCGGCCCCGTCCCGCCCCAGTCGCCGCAGCGCCCCGCTCTCCCGCTCCCGGCTCCTCGCCGCGGCCCGGGCCGCGCAGCGCCGCCGCCCCCGCGGCCGCCCCGGCCGCGCCCCCCAGCCCGCGGCCGCCGCGGGAGCGCCTCTAGGTGGCGCCCGGCAGCCGCCGTGCAACCCCGCGCGGGGCAGCGCCGGGAGCGTCCCGGTGTGCGGGCTCCGTCTTGTTCCTGCTCGCCTTTCTGTAATGTGTGAAGGATGTTATTCCTTGAGGAAATTTGTAGCTAAATTATTCTCACTTAATATAAACACTTAGCACACCAATTACTCAAAGGGGCGGGCTGTCTGTTAGCTTCCCTTCATCTGCGTTTTGGAAGGGTGGGAGACATCCTGGCGAACGGATAGATAATGGCTGCAAATAAATTATAGCTCCCGCAGATAAAGTTTCCATTTGAATTAAAAGACGCAATTAAGAAGCTGTCCAGGCACAAGATCGGGTGTTTATATATTATCTCATTAGAACAAAAACATTAATGTTACCTTTTAAGTATAAAACGAGACGTTGTGTCTGTAACACGCCGCGGGGGGCAAGGGACACGCTTCCTGCGAACGGGGGACCTGGCGATCGAATGACATTTAGTAGATAATTTTTCCTGGCATTTTACCTGCTCCCTTCTGTGGTGGTTGCCGTCGCTGGCTGGCTGTTTGCCGTGTTTTAACGGGCTCACGGAGCAGGGTGGAAGTTTCTGTCCGCGAGGTGTGGGAATGGGTAGCAATAGCTGGAGCGGGATGTAAATGGGAGCTTGGCTCAGCTCACGGGCGAGCCCGGGGCAAGTGGGGCCAAGGCGGCGGGGAGCCCGTCTTCCCCTGTGCCTCCCTTCCCGCCGGAGCCCGAGAGGGCACCCTTCTTGTTCCCGGTGCTCTCCCGCTCTCTGGTTAGCGTCCTCTTAGTAAAAAGGTGAACTACGGATTCAAAGACCGAAATCAGATTTATTTTTCGGTTCTCAAACCGTTTGTTCTTTAGGGTTTTGGATTTTTTTTTTTTTTTGTAGAAGTTCCCCAGACCATATAATTATCTCCAACATTTACGAAAGAATGGTGTCATTTATTTTCAAAAAAGGTGACACGCTTTCTATTTTCTTGGTTAAACGAACCGGCTCTGCGGCCCAGAGCTGCTCCCTTCCTCGTTTCTGGGGAGTCTGTAAGTGATGGACGTTTTCTGACCCGAAGGGGCAAAGGCAATGCAAAAAGGTCCTTGATCACTGAGCTGAGAATTGTAACCTCGGCCTGGCAGAAACTGGACCTGGATGGTGTCCTTTGATGTGTTTTATTATAAATCGAAAACAAAGCTGACTTCTGCCCAGCACCCCGCGCGGGTGCATTCCTGCGCAGCCCCCAGGCCGCCCGGCAGGGAGGATAGACAGGTCCCGCCGCCCGAGCGCGTCCCCCGCGCCCGCTCCCCTCCCCTGCCCGCCGGGAAACCTGCCGGCACCCGGCCGGGGGAGGGAGGAAAGACACCTTGCCGGGATGCTTTTGGCCAAGAAAATTCCGGAACGGCTCTCGGGGAAGGTGCTGTCGGCAGCTGTGATGCGCGGTGCCGCTCCCGGGAGGCTCCCTTCCCCCGGTCCGCGGAACGGCCCGCCGGGCTCCCGCCGCCGCCCCAGGGCACAGGCGATGCCGGCGCTGCCCGGCCGCTTTTGTGCAACAGTGGCGCGGAGGAGGTGGGACGCGGTTATTAGTATTCACGGCAGATGTATTTTCTTTAACGCAACGTCTTTATTCCAGTTGGTGGCCGACAGCAGAATCCGTTTCCCGATGCTATTTGCATTCCCTGTTTTATGGAGGATTAAAATATTTGTATTCATCCAATCTGTACTGGCCAGAGTAAATTAACTTTTTTTTCCTCAGCCTCTTTT